CAAAATAAACAAATTTATTTGTCATAATATATAACAAAAATTAAAGTATAGGTAGAAATGAAGTACAGAACAATTATAAAGAGAAGATCAAAATACAATCACAAGTCGTGTATATAATATGCTGTATGTGCAAAATCTATCACATTCTAAATCATATTAACCAAAACGAATCACATCCAGTTTACATTTCCACCAGGTATTAACTTCATTGAATGAATATATACCCTCCATTCGTCCAAAAACATATACGTACAGTCAAATAAATTTGCATAAATAGAATAAGAAATAGTTTTCAATAATCAATTCATTTTTTTTTTCTTGTGGGGATAATAATGCCAACAAAATACACAAATATGAATAACCAAAGTTAATTACAATTGACTTCTGATATTACATCATTAAATCTTACTATATAATTGGTCAAGCGTGTTCCCAAGAACCTCTTCTTGCATCTCTGGTATCATCGTCTGTCTCGTTACGTACGATTGCCTCCTCAACTAGTGATGTACTTGGTAAAATAATTACATCAGGTTTTTTAATATCATTTGCGTGCTCTGACGTTTGACCTTCTCTATCACCAACTTCAAAAGATGACAGCTCATTCTCCGCACCATTATCCGACAATACTCCTTCACTAGAATCCTCAACTATTTCCGCTATCTCCGAAGTATTATTACCATTGTTTTGTGAATATGATGTTGGTAATGCGTCATTTGTTGAATTCGTTGTTGAAGGTGATGAAAGTCCCGAACCTGTTGATGATGATAGGGCCGACGTACTCACTATTGTTCCACCTTCTGTGCTCGTTGTTATTGGCGTAGAAACATTGGTTGAGGTGTAACCGTGGGAATGAGAAGTTGAGGAAATTTCATCATCGTCACTATTATCTGTTGGCATTTGTTCAGAAAAATGTGCTTCAACTTCCAACTGAGAACTTTCGACAACCGAATCATCATTTTCATTCCTTTGTTGATTTTCATGAACTACCACTTCGTCAACACCTTCCTCATTACTGGATAAATGTGGATTTGTTATTGTACCTGATGCAGAATCTTCTGAAGAAGCTGCATCATTAGAATTCTCATCTTGTGACCTTTCTGCTCTCTCTCTTTCTTCCCGTTCCCCCCTCTCCCTCTCATCTTGCTCCAAAAGGCTAAGTCGAATGGCCTCCATAACCATTAACTCTTCCAAATCGGTACCCATCCTCATGGCTGCCAGATATCCTCCGTATTCGGGAGCAACAGCAGATGTATTATTACGTCGGCTAGGAGTGTTCGTGGAGGTACCTTGTGAGCGGATCACTATGCGTCTTGGATTGCCGGATGATGTCGCCGTTGGAGATCGTCTCGCACTTGATGATTGACGCGAGGATTGTTGAAGCGCACGCGCGGCCCAATCTGGGCGGATTTGATCTTTTATTTCGATAAAAGAAAAAAAGAAAGGAAACCACGGTGTTAGAAAAATTTACCTTTATTGAATACAATTAAATCGCCATGTACTAAATAATAATGTTATATTTCTGCAATCCGTAAAATCCAATTATTCTCCTGGCTCAAAATGAAATCATTAGTGATTTTTTTGTATTGAATATGAGAAATCAATTTACAATATATGATTTCAAATAATTACTATGCTCATTTCTTTTACAGACATTATGCACGATCTGCTGATTTTTATACAAAAAATATCATACCAGTAGTAACAACGTCAGGGTTTTTGTGACTCACACTCCTTCTCCGTGTTTTTCCTCCTTCAGGCACGTTAAGTGATGATGATGATGAAGACGTTGGCAATGGTGGAATATTGAAATTGTGGATTGCGTTAGGCTGTGATAATTAATTGTGGGCATATATATATAAGATGATGATATTAAAACGACTTTCAAGATACAAAAACTGTACTATTACCATATTTTCACTACCGATGCCGGCGCTGAAAGGAGGTGGCTTATAACAAACTCCAAAATTAGGTTCAACACAGAAAGGGCATACAGCGGGTGAATTATTGGCACCTAATGTACCGCTCTCTGGTCGCTTTATTTGAACAAAACATTCGGTACAAATTGGCTGGTCGCAACAACGGGAATGATTAATGTTCCGTGGGTAATACTATTACGAAAGTTGAATTGAATACAGTGAAGACTGTTAGTATTATCATAAAAATAGTATAATAAGATTAGACAAGGAATACACGCATCTAACTTTGTGAGCATGTCATAAGGATTGGCATTGTTTCTTCGTAATGAATCTATTAATTATTCAAAAAACGTATAATTGATCGCAGAGCCGAAAAATGATCAATTATCTTCATAAATCGCGCTTCTCTCACTTGATATATGAACATAATTGCAACATAAATCCGTCTAAATGATACTTCATAATTCCATTTTGTAAAACCGCTATTAAGGTTAATTACTCACCAAAAAGCAGATGGGGCATTCGGCTGCACCTTTGTACAATTGAGCCTCTAACGATTTTGTTGTGGAAACTTCTTTGCCTTTAGCAGTCCCTACAGTGTTTAATGTTGCTGAACGTCTTAAAACTTGATTTCCTTGTGTGTGTAATTCTCCATTAAATGCACCACTTTTCTTGACCTCACCATTTTTTGGAAGATTGTGAGTTGTCAAAGTGACTTCGTCCCAACTCTCGTCATAGTCTGCCAACCCTTTGTAGAATGGTGCCAATTTACGTTCTATGATGAGTCTGCGGACGCATCTAACATCCCAATCCTGAGGTCCTTTGTAAATCCCGTGCGGCACTAATTGTCCACCGTCTACAGTTTCTTCTCCCTTTTCCTTGTTCATCGAATTTCCCATATTTGTCTATACTACTCACAAACAATATTTGATACTTGATCGTGTTCTTCCAGCTCGTTCGAAAGGGTTAAAGGTCAAATATACACATACAGACCAAATTTGCATAAATGATACGAGTGACAACCCTAGTGCGCGGTAATCAGTTGCTAATTCTGCTCTTCTCGTTGGCAGACTTTGCAAGGTTCACGGAACCTTTTGCAAACACAAAAAGAAGTATGTCTCCCTGCTTCTGTT